AATAAAACTTTAAGCGTTACAGGATTCAAATGAGAGGGCTGGTTTTGCCCTTCCAGATTGTGCCCTTTATTATAAAGCAGCGGCCTTGGCCTGGATTAAAGACTGGATTATATTGGACAATCAAAGACTACTTAAATTAGAAGGGCATGATTTGTCATTAGGTTGGCATGCCTTTTTATGATATGGAAAAATAGATTCTCACAAATACTTTAAACAACATTGGTTGAGGGCTTCCTTGATAAAAGTTTGGGAGCCAATTAAAAAACAATTTTATTCCAAAACTTCGAAATTTGTGGCCCCCTTAGAAGCATTCACAAATCCGAAGACATATCAAGAAGAACCAGTGAAAAGATATCATGATCTATTGGACTCTAAACTCAATTTAAAATTACCCTCGGAATTTAACTGGTGGCAAAGAGTTCAGATTGAATCAAGATATACCAAAGACAAAGTGATAGGTTTTAATGAAAATTGGTTGGAAATTGATAAGTTATTATTGTCAGTTGAACAGAATGTTATAAAGAAAATTTGGGCAACAATATTAAATTAGATCAGTGGTCTCAAATATAGAAAAAATATTAAGTTTACAAAATCAATTGCATATAAAGAAAATATTTATGTTTTACAGATGGTATATAACTCCTGAAAAATTAGCTAAATTTGATACAAAATGTTCTGATAAATGTTGGAAATGTGAAAACAAAACGGGATCCTTTTATCATATGTGATGGTTATGTGAGAAAGCTAAGAAGTATTGGGCCTGAATCCACGAAATATTGCAGAATATATTGAATTATTATATACCCTTTACCCCAGAAATATTACTTTTGAATATTTTACCAGAAAATTGTAAAAGATACAATTCTTATCTTATACTGTATATAGCTACTTCTGCTAGAATTTTGTATGCAAAGCAAAGCAAAGAAGAATTTATCAATACAACACTAGAAGCAGCGGAAATGGACAAACTCACTTTATCCTGTCCAGTGCTGATCCAACGCTTTCTAGGTATGAGTCAATGCACGACCACTGAGGAGAGCTTAAATCATCTTTATTTAACTTCACACACATTCAGAACATCATTTACTCACTATCAAGATGATAGCTGGGTAGAGATGTTACATCTTTGTGATCTAGGTCAATTCTATGGGCGTGGTGAGAAAAGAGATGAGCTTCCCTCACTTGCGGTAAGTGAAGATGGACAAAGAAATGGAAAAGAACAATAAAACTCCTATCTTCGTGCCTCTGAGCTCAGGAAATTACTCTTAATAAGCCAGTTAGAGGGAAGCTTCTGGGCCCCCTAATTGGAACTATAATTCCCAGGTGCAACTACTCTTAAAGATACACCGTCCGGGCCCGGTGATTTATCAGTTTTTAAGTTGTCTATCAGTCGTAGGACCTCCTCTCTTGTCACCTCAATCTGACTCAGGTCTCTCAACACCACTTCCAAAATCAGTGGTTCTGGAGTGGGCAAGCACTTCTCATCTTCCACAGTGAAGACAGAGGCAAAAAATGCATTTAGCTTCTCAGCCATTTCCCTATCATCCTTCAGTACTCCTTTTACCCCACTGCCTCCCTGGCTGGGTTCCTACTTCTAATGTATTTGAAGAAGGTTTTATTGTTGGTCTTTATATTTTTTGCTATATGGTCCTCATATTCCTTTTTACATGCTTACATGACTGATTTCTCCCGAAAAAATTATCTGAGCATAGAAAACTTGATATCTGTGTGTATGGGAGGGAATTTTATGCTAGGACTTCTCTCTCTCTCTCTCTCTCTCTCTCTCTCCCTCTCTCTCTCTCTCTCTCTCTCTCTCTCTCTCTCTCTCTCCCTCTCTCAGATTTGAGCATGGACATAGTGAAACAGCCTAGACATAGGTTTACCATGTTAGTGAGAACTACATTTTAGGGCCAAGTTATACAATAACTGGGAAATTCTTGATTTGATTAGAGAAACCATAGAGAGTTTCAAATTTCCTACATGTGACGAACTGCACTTTAAAAGTTCATAAGTACTGTGTAAACATGTGAAGGACTGTGAAGGGTTAATGCCTCACGGAACCAGAGAGCCTTGAGTGACATGCTGCTCAAAGGAATTTGATTGGTTAGCATCAGTTGAGCAAAAACACTTTGGAACTGACTGCTGAGGAGAATTCAGGTTAGCTCTGGCTGAGAACTGGAGTCTGAGTGAGGGAACGGGGCTAGATTGTCATACTATCTTACAGCAGTGGGGGGAGGCGCTTAACTTTTATTCCTGTGCTTTCCCTCCTCCTTGCCTAAATGTCCTCTCTGACTGCTGCCATTTTTTGGGAACATCTATCATGGCCACTGGGTTGTTATTGTCACCAGCACTTTATTTTCATTTTATTCTATTTTATTGTCAAGCTATACTTGTCATGTTTGTATTTTAAGGTGGCTTTAACCCTTATTGTAAGCCGCCCTGAGCCTGCCTGTGGCGGGGAGGGCGGGATAAAAATTGAATAAAATAAATAAATAAATAAATAGGAGCCATGCACAGAAACATGAAGAATTACGTTAAAGAATCATGCCCTAGTCAAAGGCCAGGCAATGCCTGAATTTGAAGCTCTTCTTCTCCAGTTGCTGCAATTGATTTCATTGTTGCCAGGATTTCTTTGTTACGGTATGTGATCCAAGACCTCTTCTTGGGATGTTGTTGTGATTTCAGCAGCAAGTGATGCTACTTTCAATCTAAAAGCAAACTTATTTTGTCATGTTTCAAAGTGAACATCTTGTTGATAGTCAGTGCTCATTATGTAGATGAAGAATTTCAGAACAAAAATGGCTTCTACCATGCAGGGGTCATTTCGTAGAAAAAGAGCTAGGGGGACTCATTAGCATAACTCAGCATATGCCACACCCCCTGACATCACCGGAAGTGTGTCCTCCCCACAGCCGGCGGCGACCTCCAGCGGGCACCAGCAGGGAGCTCCAGGCCCCGCCCTCCCGCACTTCACCCGGGGGGATGGCGTCCCCCCGCGTCCCCCCCAAATGACCCCTGCTACCATGTATCTCTTTCGTAATCTGTATAGTGATAGAGAAAAAGACAGACAAGTCTAGACATGTCCGCTTCCAAGGTGGAGTATGGGGCTGTAGTGCCCTCCTGGGTCTTCCTTTTAAGCTGTGATGACCCTTCAGGAGCCTTAGTAAAGCAAGGGGGATGGGGTTGACTTTACCCAACTTCCTCTCCCCTGCCACCATGTGGGGCTTCCACTAGCTTCACAGGATGGGTCTTGTTCTTCTTCCTTGATTCTGTTCTGGATTTGGTGGCTCCCCAATCTGTTCTTGCTGCCCTTCTCTCAGTTATCGCTGTCTGGCACCACTGGTCCAGTCAAGCTGGTAAGCTCCTGCATGCTTCTCTCTGCCGGGTAAGTGTGGGAGTGGGGAAGCAACCCTCACTGTCTTGAGGGTTCTTGGTGATCTGAATACATTCTGTGCAAGAAACTATTGCCTTCTGGTGCCTAAAGGCTGGGCAAAGTGAACATCAGAATATGACCAATAACATACAGATTCAGAGCTGTTCTCTCACGGGCAGTTCTCAAGAGAGTTCTCTCATCCCCACGTACCTCACAGGGTGTCTGTTTTGGGGAGGGAAAGGAATTGTAAACCACTCAGAGACTCCTTTAGGTAGTGAAAGGTGGGGTATAAATCCAATCTCCACTTCTCTCTTCTAGAGCCAAAAGTTAATTTGAACTGTATAACCAGTTGTCCTGTCTCTTCTTTTCCCTGTTCCAGAAGCTGTTCTCAAAATACATTTTCTGGCTACCTGAAAATTGTGGATTTTCTAATGTGTACAGGTGCTAATTTTGAAAGAGACATCTATACTTTTATTTTACTGGCATATCTACACACCAGCTTTCCTTATCCATTCATAACATGTATCACAGTGCATGTAGAACCAGTATCTATAATTGACAAGGTTATATTCAATGCATAGTATGAAATTGATTTTATCTTGCTATGTCAGAAAAGTGGTGCTATCATGCTTTTAAACCTTCTGTCACCATTGTTTGAAGATAGTGTTGTCATCTGAAGTCAAAGGATGATCTTCTTCCTTTTCAGTAAATACTGTTATGATTTTATTGGCATGAAAATACTCACTTTTGCTAATATGTTGGTGGCTGTAGTAAGGTGGGAAATTAGATGAGATTGATTGAAAAAGCTGGCTGGATACAAACTATTATCTGGAAAACTTTCCCACATCCTACAAACATATGCCATAATTCCATACAGGATAATCCTATGCAGATTTACTTCAGTATAAATCAACTCATTTCTGTGGGTTTATAGAGTGGAATAAATCAGCATTGAATTGCACTGTTAGTAGTGAGGGGTGGGCATTTTGCATGTGCCCAGAGACACTCTCTCTCTCTTTTCCCATCTACATGCATTCCAGCACTAAACTCTGGAACTGTCCTTAAGTGCTTGGGTTAGGCTGAGAATTAAAGCCCCCAAAGCAATATAGCAGCAGGATCAGATGGCAATTTCAGTTGCAGTGTGTGGTGAGTAAGCATACTGCTCATGAAACTAACCTTTCCACTTCAGCTTCCCATTTATTGTCCAAGCCAGAGGACATCAGATGTCACTACAATCTGGTGGTTGTTTGCTGGTCTGTGCAGGAGATTTGAGATTCAGTGTGTCTTTCAGACAGACAGATGTGCAAGTCACAAATGCCGCCACTAAATCTCGCACCAGTTGGCAGGATTGTTGACAGTGTCAGCAGCGAGACAATGACCTTAAGGGGAAATGTAACTAGTTTAGTCTCTTTTTCTATGGGTGAGTATGTTGACAAGAATACAATGGAGAACTGGAAGCTATAGCATTTAAACAGTTTCCACAGTGCTCACTCTTGATTCACTAAAATAAGTGTGTGTGTGTGTGTGTGTGTGTGTGTGTTTTAGGGTTTTTAACTTTGCATTAGCCATATATGCTAAGCTGATATTTTAAAGCTATAATTTTAATTAATTTATCATCTATTTTCAGAGGAATTAAAAGGATATGGACCAATTTTTGAAGAACAACCCATTGACACAATCTATCCAGAAGAATCCTCAGATGGAAGAGTTTCAATGAATTGCAGAGCCAGAGGAATCCCTGCTCCCATTTACAAGTAACACTCTTTTTGCTCTTATTTATTCTGATTTGCAGGAAGTTACTATTAATGTAAGACCACAATTGCACACTATAGTTTCTCAATGTTTATTTTGAAGGACTTTTCTTTCTTTTGCAAATTTATTTGCCAGGATTGCATTATCAAGAAGGAAAAGGACTTGGGTAGAGACAAAAACGTTAACCCTCTCTTCCTCTGCCATTGTCTCCCTGGATACAGCCATTCCTGAGCTGATTTCATTCCTGTTCCGGGGAAGAAGAAAAAAGATACCCATAAATTTTCGTAACAGGAATAAATTAATCTCACGAATGGCTTTTTCCAGTGAGAAAAATGGCAGGAAAGGAAAAGATTAAAGTTTTCCCTTTCTTTGTGCCTTGTTTACTGTTTCCTTCATGGTAAAGCAATCCCAGCTGCCGCATTTGCAAAAGGAAAAAAAGTTGCTTAAAATAACTTGGGAAGAAACCTGTAGCTGAACCCAAAGTATGCGCCTGTATCCAACCATACATACACAGAATGGAAACCTTCGTTGCATTCCTCTCCCCTGGAAAGATCATTGCTGGGCTTGTGGGACCTGTACAGAGGAGCAACTATGCAGACAGGGAGGAAGGCCAAGGGGAAGATTGTTAAGACAATAATGTATTACTAATTGTGCTTAACTTATCTCACCTTGACACCGAATGCCTGGTCAGCTAAAATCACCTTATATTTTTGTGTAAGCTATTTTTATTTGGTCTGGCTTTTAGTGCCCAGAATGACAGGGAAAGGGGTGATGGTAGGGGAAAAGAGAGGGATGTTAGCAAGATTTTAGTATACTATTATGAAATCAATATGAAGTAACAGTGTAGCATTCCAATAGCAATTTAGTTTTATATTGGTGCCCATCTGTACTCCACTAGAGTTCATTAAGCAGTATGAGAACATGCCATTATTCCCTGTAGGGGGTCCCCCCCCCCCCGTCCTAGTTTTCTGAATGAATGAACTTTTGCATTTTGATATTTAGAACTATGCTCTATATAATTTCCAGAACTGTGCTATGTATTTTAAAAAAATTTTTTAAAAAAACCCTGCAGTGCTTTCATATAGGGTTTTGAGTTTGACCCTCCCCCCAAGATGATTTATGAAAATGTTGTAGGTGTTTTGGTTGCTTGCTTAGATTTCTACTAGATGCACGCACGGAAGGTTGCACACTCCCCCTGGTGGCTCAAATGATACTTTACAATTTTAATGAACCCTCATAATAAAGAAAATGTGTTTATAAGGCAATCCAAAATATTAGCTTGGGCATGATCCTGTGAGCCTCTAATAGTCACAGCTGTCATACGGCCTATGCAGACTTGTAGCTACTGGGTGAGCTGGTTGTTTCCCTGCTGGCCACAGTGTGCAGGACTTGATATCCAATCACATTGGAATATTTTTATGCAGCTGCAACTCCATCCACATTGAATTCAGCATTTGGCATCCATTCAGAATTACAGCTGAATATCAAGAAGACAAAAATAATGACTACTGTGGAATTATACAATCTTAAGGTTTATGATGAAGAAATTGAAATTGTTCAAGATTTTCTGTTCCTTGGCTCCATCGTGAACCAAAAAGGAGACTTAAACCAAGAAATCAGAAGAAGACTGAGACTGGGAAGAGTGGCCATGAAGGCTGTTGATGATAGGGCATTCATAGGGTCACCATAAGTTGGAAGTGACTTGATGGCACTTAACACAAACACACAGCCAATTCTGCCCGTGACGCTACTGCTAGAGATTTACATAGGCAGACCAAAAACTGGGACTGCAATAGAGTTTCAAGGGGTAGCATGAATTGGTCTGTACTTCTTTAAACACAGAGACATTCAAACAACAAGATTTTGGCTGGGATCCTATGTATACCATCGTAGAAGCATCTTCCTTTGAATTCAGTGGAAATTCCTCATGGAATACTCCCCTCTCCCCCTTCAGCCCATCGGGTCTGAGTTAGTGCTAAATAGACTGTCACTGTGTAAATGGCACAGATACAAACAGCCACAACCTTGCCTGTGCAATTTTGTGTACAACTTTACTTCTTTTATTTCCACGTAAAATTTTCAGTGTGTTTTTATGAAGCTGAGCATTTTCCACCATGGTATATCTCACAGTAATGCCTTATGATCTCATGGACATTTTCCCTTTGCATATAAAGAAATAATATAAGGGAAAGCTGCACAATATCTCTTTCCAGTGCTGAAACCAGGGTATAGCTCTCCTTCCGTGGCAAGATGATTCCCCCTTCCCTTAATTTTGGAACAAGGTATCATGCTCTAGATTAACACAAACATAGTATTAACAGGAAATGTCAAAACGTGCCGTTGGTTTTTAGAAATAATTCAATCTACATTTCTTAATAGGTGGAAACTTAACAACTGGGATATTGATATTACAAGGGGGCGCCACCTTATGGTAGGAGGTAACTTGGAAATCACTAACCCTGAGAAATCAAGGGATGAAGGAACATATGTCTGCATAGCATCCAACATACATGGAACCGTACGGAGCCGAGAAGCAAATCTAAACTTTGGATGTAAGCAGTACTTACCTGTTTAGGTTTTTTACCCAAATCTGTAAATGTATACTTTCTGGTGATCAGTCTGTTAATGCCATTCCACTGTTGGCTCATACTGGCTTAAGCAAAACATGTAGATATACATGTTTTATGTATCCATAGGATTCAAAGAAAAGGAACGTGTCTGTAATACCTTTTCAAATTGCTGAAAGTCCAGTCCCATTTTTGTTTATTTTCATCATTTATGCCATTTCTCCTCTATGGGGACCCAGAGTAGCTTGCATCTTTCTCCATTTTCTCCTCACAACAGCCTTGTGAAGTAGGTTAGGCAGAGAGTGTGTGACTGGCCCAAGGTCACCCAGCAAGCTTGCGTAGCAGAGTGGAGATTCAAACCTGGGTCTCCTGGATCCCAGTTCAGCACTTTAACCCTTATACCACACTGGCTGGCTTGCTCCACATTGTTGTTTTGTTTTGCATTCATCATACTTAGCCTATGGGGCACCCCTTTCCAGTCATTTTCAAAGAAAAGATGGTGTCCTGTTATTATGCCATATGCTTTCCACTTTCTCCAGTGGTGAGAGAACTCAGAGACAATGTAGCAGAACAAAGTTCCTGTTTTGGTAAGGGATTCTGAAAACCTTTGTAATATCTATTTATTTTACAAAACACATATTGAGCAGAAAATATCCAGGGAGTAAATCAGGCAAACAGCATGCCTTTCCTGATACTGTGGCTTCTTCTAACCAAGGCAGCTGCCCAAGTCAGACCTGTGTTTCCTGCTGTGTTTCCTGCCAAATTTATTTCCCTTCTGCCAAATATACAAATGTGCACATTTGTGTATTTGGCAGGAGGGAAAGAAGTTTGGACTAAAATGGGTATATTAGTCCCCACTCCAGTGTCCTAGCTTTTAGTACTATCAGTCATAGCATTATGAGCCATTGAAAAATATCCTCTCATTAGCTGTACTAAAGACAGCCCATCCTTTCTTTTCACCACACAGTAGGAGTCTTGTCCCTACATGTTTATTAATAAGGGACAGTGAGGCAGCCCCCTTTCTTGCTGCCCTCTTGAAAATTGAAGCCCATCATAATCTTGTATGATTTTTCGCTGAACACTGCAAGCCAAGTAGCAAGCACTGCCTCCCTTTCTCTATGGGTTATCTGTGATGATACTGTTTTAGAAACTGTGCTGTGCGTTCTAGGATCTTCCACACAGTGATGATTCTCTGTAGTTTCCTCATTGCTGCTGTAACTGCCAATTGAGTGCAGCAGAGCTTCCGCATTGTGGGTTTCTCCATATTTTCCCTGACCCAGGTTCATGAAGTATCCATTCCCCCCAGGCCTCCTTGTTTTCCCCCCCTTCTTTTTAAACTGGCAAGCAAGAAATTGCAATTGTGTTACAATCCTATAGTGATATGTCAAATTACCATTTTTTAAAAAACAACACATCCCCTGATGGCAGAGAAAGTGGCTGCTGTGTGGGACTGGGGGAGGGGAAATTGTGTCCATATGTCTTTCACCCCAGATATGCCGTATTGCCTCCTCCTGAAGAATTTATTATATAGCGTATATTGTCATCTATGTAAAGAAAGTAGTGCAGAGGTCCCCTAAAATATCTGTGTCCACCAGTCCTTTGACATTGGCACCTTGATACTACATTCTCAGGTCAGTGTATAATAAAAGGGGGTAAATAACCATTTTAAGTACTGTATTATTATTTTTTTCTATGTCATATCACAGGCAGTGGCAGCTGATGGCAGCCTTTTACTTGTAGCCCACTTCACTTTGATTCCTTATGGACAAGATAAATGGTCGTAGGAGGGACCTTTTAAGTTCATTGTGATATTTCTGTGAAAATGCAAATATAATGCTTTTTTAAGAGAGAGTAGGAATGTAATGCTCGAATAAGTCATCTTTATTATTCAGTAAAAGTATAGTGAATATCTACAGCAGTCCAGAAACCTCTCCTTAATATTTTATATGTGGTTATATTGATATTATTTTAAGCTGGGAGGGCGGGATACAAATCTGATATATAAATACATAACTAATACTTCTCTCCTTCCTTTCATTGTCTTGAACAGATTTAAATACATTTACTCCTGAAGAAAGACATGAGGTAAAAGTTCGGGAAGGTGTGGGAGCAGTGCTTCTCTGTGACCCTCCACGTCATTACCCAGGTAAATTAATCTGTTATGCATATTTTTCAGCTTTCATGAGAAGGGCAGAATAGCAACGGCTATAATATGATTACAGAACTGCTATCTTTAAATACAACTATGTAAGTCTCATAAGCTGTTTAAGCCCCTAATAAGATCAGTGCAGTTTGACCTCTCTGATTGTGGTTTTAGGTCATTCTAGAATGTTTGGTTCTCTTTGTATTAAAGAGCCTAGCTTGCTGTTAAAAGATCACACTTATAAGGCTGGGTGAACTTCAACAGCTATGCTCCAACGATTTGCAAACATACTTTCCTTCATACAGAAAAAAATGGTCTGTGTATTGTATCATTCTCTACTGGGTTATTGGCCCACCTTCTAGTGTTTATGTGTAGGGTCACGAACTAAAGTTCGTCAGGAATTTTGACTAGTTCGTGATTTGCAAAGTGATGTTCGTGGAAGGGCAATCGCCATGAACTTTCATGCTGTTTGTGGTGGTTCGTGAATGGATACATTTCCAGACAGCCTGCCTCTGCTCAGTTAACTATTTACAAAACTTCAAAGCAATTGGGGGGGGGGGTAGAATTCTCCAGCTTGGAAACAACAATAGGAGTCCTCCAAAGCTTAACAGGGACTGCTGGCTGCCAAGAACAATGTTCCCACTCTGCTCTGAGGAATCAGAATGCTATATATCAGCTCAGTTCCACAGCCTTTCCTCTGTTGGCTGTTGGCAGTTAGACAGAGAAGCAGAGAACTTGTTAAAAGCAGAGCATATTCATCATTTATTCCTGATTGTGAACACTTCTCCCCTGCTGGGGTTTGGGTGTTAGGTGGACTCGTCTATCTGTTCATGCTGAGCAGAGGGACTTATCTACTGGGTGTCTTGGCTGAGGACCCACATTTTATACCCTCCTGACTGTGAACTCCTCTCCCCTGCTGGTGTTTGGGTGTTATGTGGATTCAAGGCTCTGAGCTACCCTGTCTCTCTGCTCATGCCAAACAGTGGGGCTTAGCTACTGGGTGTCTTGTCTGAGGAGGACCCACATTTTATACCCTCCTGATTGTGAACTTCTCTGCCCTGTTGGGGTTTGGGTATTAGGTGGACTCAGGGCTCTGAGCCACACTGTCTCTCTGCTCACATTCTGAGGCAGGGGTGCTGGGCTGTGGCTTCTCCTTCTCCCCAGCTTTTTCCACCCACTGTTCCCTCTGGCCGTGTCTGTTGGCCTAGCCTCTGCATTTCTTCGCAGAGCTCACACTTCCATTGCAAGAGCTCTACATTCAGTAGAGCAATGCTGCCTTTTATCCAGAGGTCACAGAATCAGGCCAGCTTGTACTCCCCTTTATTGCAGAGAGGATGCAACTTGGTGGTGCTGCCCACCTGCAACCTCTCTGCCAAGGCCCTATCCCATGGAAGAATAGCCATCTTCTGGGGCCTGGGTCCAGTGCAGAGACCAGCACCCAGTCCAGCCCTCAAATCAGGGAATGACTTGCCCCAGGCTGGCCATATGGGTTCAGAGCACATTGGTGGTGTTCTGGAAGGGCTTGAGGACATGCACCATTTGGGATAGTCATAGTCAGTCATTGGAGCTGATGCTGAGCTCCTCTTCCCCATGCAGGATGCTCCTGGAGGAGATGACATCTTGTGCCACACTCTTCTGCTCCACCGAATGAGCAATCATGTTGTAAGTGGAGTTCTTATCCCCTTCCCTCTGCCTTTCATGCAGCAGAGGGGCAGACTTCATGCTGAGCAAGAAGTGGGCAGCCAGGCACTGGCAGATCTCGAGCAAGAACTGCATCTCAAGGGTGGCAGCATCCCAGGTGGCTTTGACAGTGCTCCCCAGCCCCAGAGCATCCTTCACTACCAGGTGAAGCATGTGCACAAGGCAGACAATGCCCTTGAGGTGCACATGCTTCACTTCTGCCAGCTTGTTGGCACTGGTGTCTATGACCATGTAGCCACAGATGATGTTGTCGCCACCTGCCCATTCCCTCAGGGTACTCTGTATCACAGCGGTGATATTCTGTACCATGTGGTCTGCATCCATCCCCTGCGCATGGAACAGAACCACTTTGTATGCTGGTGGCAGGACTGTCCCCTCCTGGGGCCTGATCCGTGCCCTGACAGTCCTGCTGGCTGCTCCAGAGATCTGTCATGAAGTGGATGGTTCTGCCTTATGCTCTGGAGATCTGGAGAGCTTCCTGTGCCCTCCATGTAGCCATTTTGATATCTCAGAGGGTGGCCCATCTTGATGTTTCACCCACAGCAGCCCAAGTGTGAGAAGCCTTTCTTAGCAGGGCCTCCTGCTCCTCCTCCACTTCTCCCTGCTGAGAGGGAGTGAGCCTCTTCTTCCTCCTGCTGGCCGCCACTCTTTCTCACACATAGTTGGATCCACTATTTGCAGGTGTTTGCAAAAGATGGAGGACAAGCATTGGGGGTCTGCACCCATTCGAAAATGGGTGTGGCACACCTGGCACTCAGCCACTCAGGAGTCACTGGGGAGGGTGGGGAAATATTTCCAAACTGTGGGCTTCCCCCCACCCTCTGAATCACTGCTGTCAGAGTCCTCCTCTTCAAAGAGTGTTAGCAACTGCTGGTGTCTTTGAGCAGTTCTAACAACTCTTTTCCTTCTGTGGAGAGCCCCAGGAAAAGATCTGGGGAAAGAGGCTCTGAGACCCCTGATGATACCTTGCTAGGGCTGGGCTCCAGTGAGCTGGCAGGATGGTTCCTGGGGATGGGAGCCAGTGATATGCAGGGGATGGAGGACTTCTTCCCCCCACGACAAGCACCGTTCACACCCACTTTCACCCTCATGGCACATAGAGGTTTTCACACTCAGGAGGGGTGCGAGGATGTGGGATAAATGTGGGAGACCTTTTTGGGGAGTCCATAACTGGGACCCCAGAAATGTAATCCACCCCAAACTTGGAGAGATTGTAGAGGAGTGGGCAGCAGAGTGAGGTTTCCTGTGTGTTTAGTATATGTAGTTTCAGGGGGTCCATTCTATACATTTTTGAACCTGCACCTGACATTTCCCCCAAAATCACTTTTCTGGCTAGACCTTTGTCCTGTTGGGCTTGCAGTGCCACAGTGGCACTGGTTCTGCTGAGCACATTGCACTGGTTCTGCTGGGCTTTCCCCCCCACCTTAAGTTTCTACTGCAGAGATTCTCTGGTACTTTGATTCTGTTCTACTGGGCTTCTGTTGCTCTTGCTTTTTTGCTGTTTTTTCCCCTCCATTGGAAACAGTGGAGGATGAGGTACCTTCTTTGGGGCACTGTAACTCAGACCCTGTAAATCCAATCCTCACCAAATGTGGACAGCAGGTAAAGGAGAGTCAGCAGGAGATCCCCTGCAAGTTTAGTGTCTGTAGCACATGGGGGGCCATTATACCACATCACAAACCAGACTGATTCTTTCAGTGTTTAAAAGTTCATGACGGTTCATGGTTCATGGTTCATGAACTGGGCACACCATGAGCCATAAACTGAACCACAATGTCCTGGTTCATGCCCATCCTTATTTATGTGTTTTTAACGGAACTTTTTCATTTTTAATTGTTTAGACTTTTTTTTATGTTCGCCACTTAGTGGACCCTGATTGGGTGAAAAAAATGTTTTAAATTAAAAAAATAGTATAAATATTGTAATAGTCTCTGTAGAACTATGTTTAATATATGACCTTATTATGATGGGTAGCAGGAAGAGGCAAGAGAATTGAGGGAGAAACTGTGATGTGCCAGCCATCCTCTGTAAGGAACTGGGAGGTTAGATGAAAGTGAACAGTGAAGGCAAGTTGTTACAGTTACTTCTCTTCATGGTAGCAGCCCTGCCAAAGAGATGGGTTCATGAAGGATTGGGTGGGTTAGGCAACTAATTGATGCAGTGCCTAATATGTATCCATAAAAGTTAGTTCAAGCTTTCCATCTGATGATATATTCAGTTTCAAGCATGCCATATGACCAGAAGGTATAAAAAGTCAAATTTCTAGTTCAGGCTGCTTCCAAAGCTAGCATTTTTCTGCTAGAGGTACCATGATAGTTGGTATCAAAAGCCACTGAGAAGTTCAGGAAAATCAATAGAGAATCAACAGAGTCATGTTCCCTCTGTCCATCTCCCAGTGCAAGTCATCCACCAGGGTGACCAAGGCCTAAACCCAGATTGGAAGGGATCTAAATAATTTGCCTAATGTATGAAAGTTTATTAAGCACTTCCTTCTGCTTTCATACCTTTCTGTATCCCTTTGACCACCTTTAAGCACCTCAGCCTTGTTCATTTTAATTGAAGCAATTTTTCTCTCTCCAGATGATCTGAGTTACCGCTGGGTTCTGAATGATTTCCCTGAATTCATTACTTTGGATAAACGACGATTTGTTTCTCAGACAAACGGCAATCTCTACATAGCAAAAGTAGAAGCATCAGATAAGGGCAACTACTCTTGCTTTGTGACCAGCAACTCAATAGCTAAGAGTGTATTCAGCAGTTTCATTCCTCTTATTCCTCAATCAGATCGTAAGTATTTTATTCAGATTATTAGATATATCATATGTCCTCTTTGCACCATTATTTACTTTTACATTTTTAGTGTATTCTTGGAGAAATTGAAGCTAATCTATAAGCAGCTTTTCCAGGGCATTTCCTCTTGTAACTGGTTCTGTTTCTTTCCTGTGCTTAAGGCTCAAAGCCTCTTCAGACGTTAACTTTTTAAACATATGCAGGTGCAGGAGATGTTTGAAGTGTTCCCTAGAATGTAGCATGAGTGTGACTGGTGTGTTTTGAGACACAGCTATCATGAAGGTTTTACTCATCAAGAAGTCAGGAATGGTTGGATCTTAGGGTGAAAGTAGGCGAGATTATAAAGATCTCCCGTCAGGTCTCCCTGTTTCTGTACTTCCTGACAAGCCTAGGTGTACCTTGAGTTGTGTGTATAACAGCTCTGTGAGGTGTCATCTACATGAAGTCCTTGTGTTTGTTGGGGGAAAGTGCAAGGACTTTGCATTGCATGTGTGATGGGAGTTTTGTGCCTCCCAAACACACACCAATTCTTTTCCGTTTGCAGTCAAAGTAAACAAGGGGAAGCAGCTTTAGCCTCTCCCCCATGCTGTTTTCATGTCTATAAACCACCCTGTGGAGCTGTTATTAACTCCGTTGTGAAATTATGGTACTGATGTAGCTGCATGTAAGTTTCACAGTGAAGCCAATAGCAACTTGGTGGGATGGTTTGTGGATGGGAAAACTGCATGAGGGGGAGGCTAAAGCCGCTTCTCCCCACCTGCTTTGGTTGCAAACAGAGAAGAGCTGGTCAGTGCCTGGGAGGCACAAATCTCCTCATGTTTCTCCTGATGTTACTCCTTAAGGTCCTCATGTTTCTCCTCAATGAACATGGGGACTTTGTGATATACAGATGGAGCCTTTAAGATGGAAGTACAGAACTGAGTAAAAACAACAACCTTGCAGAGAGGAGACTTACACTGAGAGGCATAAATATTCTGCTTTGAGTCTCCATGAATGCAGGGGAAGCAGCAAATAAAACGAATTGTGCCATGTATTCATTGTACTTTGGTAAAACTGGAAACTACTTCTGTTGCTGAGAAGGAAATAGCAAGGGGAAGCTTTCTGTGAGGATACATCTTTCTAGCCACTCTTGAGTAGGATTCTGACCTCTTTCCAGGTATGCCAGGTTCTGTCCTAGCTTATGTAAACCTGTGCATACATTTCTTAGTTGTAGTTTTCTTTCCAAACCTAAACAGACTGATAATTTTGCAAAGTTGTGAAGAAGTATGCATATTCTGAAAGAAACCAAGTTGTGGCGGGAGACTTTTCAATGAGGATGGGGAGGGACACAAGTCCTGTCTCCTGTGGTAACTTTAAATTTGTGACAATTGTGGTTGTTTTTTGTGACTATTGTGATTGCACCCCTCCTAATCTGACGATACATTACACAACCAAGATAAAAATAAGAAGACAAAGTACAATAAGAAGTAAAAGATTCCCAAGATGGTCCTTTCAGGTCTCACTAACATGAACAGGTTATTGCGTGTTCTGTTGAAGATTTTTCTCTAGAATTTTTAAAAACCATTTGTTGAAACAGTAGATAGAGGGCCCAGCATAATTTGTAACATGCTTGTAACATGCTTCACCCCATCGTATCCCATGCATATAACCTCATGAATAATAAAAGGGGAAAATACTTTCTGAAACAACATATTCCTTTCAAACTAGATGTTACTACTTTTAATGAATGGGGTCCAGGTTCCCCAGTGTTCAGCATGTATACAGCTCCAAAATGGGACAAATAACATCCCTCCCTGGACCTGTATCAGCTAAAAAAAATGGGGGGGGGGTAAGGCAGGAGCCCCTTTCCCCTCACACCAAGTTCCCAGTCAGAACTGGGTCCCTGTGGCTCTTTAAAATGCAGTTCTCTGCAGCCCCTATGTGACTTAGAGGGGTACAAGTTGGGACCGAGGTACCCAGACCCCACTCATCTTAACATTTAAGCTTTACTTGTACATGAATATATGATATCAGGCACCAGAGAAGCATGCCTGTTTTATTTTCTGAGCTTGGGTCCTGCATATAACAAAACTGCCACTGGTCTTCAGGACTATGGTGCAATGAAGGATCATTCTGTCACGTCCTGTTTCCTGACCTGAAGTGGACCAAGGAGCTGCTATTTGCCATGTTAGGGAAACACATGTGTACTGATCTGAACTGTGCTCCTGCATGCCTGATGATTAAAATTTAAAAGAGAGCGGGAAGAACTCTGTGGAGCTCCTGGTGTCTCATCTGCTTCGTTCCTGTTTTCTCACTCTGTATCATGTTGCTAAGTGGTAAGGATGTTTTTCAGCCATATATGTGTGGTAAAATGGTCTGCAAGAAGCTAAATATCCTTGCATCTTTATTTCATGTTAGGTACGAAAGGTTATCTGCCAGATATCAGAGTGAAATTCAAAGACACATATGCACTTCTCGGGCAAAATGTGACACTAGAGTGTTTTGCACTTGGAAAGTAAGTATGTTTTAATGTATTTATGCACATGGGCAAAGTTTGGGTAGACTGAACTGGAGCAGGGTAGGTGGACCTTATCTGCTTACAAGAGTAGCCCCTAGCATTTGTTCCACAGCTTTGGAAAATCTAAGCCTTTTGTTGGATAATGTACAGTGACAAGATTATCTGCATGAATTCATGGTATTAAGGATTGCATTTTACAGCTGTCCTAAATCATAATTTTAAATGTTAAGAACATAAGAGAAGCCATGTTGGATCAGGCCAAAGGCCTATGCAGTCCAACACTCCATGTCACACAGTGCCCAAATCCTAGGTGCCATCAGGAGGTCCACCACTAGGGCCAGAACTTCAGAAGCCCTCCCACTGTTGCCCTCCAAGCCCCAAGAATATAGAGCATCACTGCTCCAGACACAGGGTTCCATCTATACCTTGTGACTAATAACCACTGATGGATCTCTGCTCCATATGTTTATTCAGTCCTCTCTTGAAGCTGTCTGTGCTTGTAGCTGCCACCACTTCTTGTGGCTGTGAACTTCACTCGTATATTACTCTGTGGGTGAAAAAGTACTTTTTTTCATCTGTTTTAAACCTACTCCTCATTAATTTCATTGAGTGCCCACGAGTTTTTGCATTGTGAGAAAGGGAGAAAAGTACTCCTTTCTCTACTTTTTCTGTCCCATGCATAATTTTGTAAACCTCTGTCATGTCAACCCTCAATTGTCGTTTCTCCAACTAAAGAGCCCTAACCTCTTTAACCTTTCTTCATAGGGAAGGTTTCCATCTCCTTAATCATTTTAGTTGCCTTTTTCTGCACCTTTCCAATGCTATAATGACTTTTTTTTGAGGTGCAGTGACCAGAACTGTACACAATATTCCAAATGAGGCTGTGCCATCGATTTATACAGTGGCATTATGATACTGGCTGATTTGTTTTCAATCCCCAGCACAGCATTTGTCTTTTTTGTTGCAGTTTCACACTGAGTTGACATCTTCGGAGTATCTACCACATCTCCAAGATCTCTCTCCTGCCAGATCGGACCTCATCAATGTATATTTACAGTTAGGATTTTTGTCTCCAATGTGCATTACTTTGCACTTGCCCATGTTGAACCTCATTTGCCATATCGATGCCCATTTGGCCAGCCTCGACAGATCCCTCTGGAGCACCTCAGTCCTCCCTGGTTCTCATCGCCCTGAACAACTTAGTGTCATCCACAAACTTAGGCACTTCACTACTTACTCCCAACTCCAAATCATTAAAGAACAAGTTAAAAAGCACCAGACCTGGTACCAAGCCCTGCGGTACCCAACTGCTTACCACCTTCCACTGTGAAAACTGCCAATTTAAGCTCACCCTCTATTTCCTGTTAATTAACCACTTTTTAATACACAAGAGGACTTTTCCTCTTACCCCATGACCCCTGATGTTACTTAGGAGCCTTTGATGAGAAACTTTATCAAAAGCTTTCTGGAAATCTAGGTAAACAACATCTACTGGGTCACCTGTATACATTTTTTAAAAAATTATTTGTTAGATTTCTATCCTGCCCTCCTGCTGA